ACCGTACAAGAGAAATTGTAATTAGTCCCATTCATTAATTAAATAACACCCTTTATTAGATCTCATGTCCACTAAACGAACTCCCTTAATTTTTTTTTTTAATTATGTACCGATTCTATGCAGACGATGCACTTGTGCTTTTATGCAGAAATGTTTTCAATTTTCCTTCTTATTTTTGGGATCAAAACTAGTCAATTTATTCTTCGTTGGCATCTGTCAATGACCGATGATGACACCGCAATCAAAGTCCACCGGAGGTTTTAAGGTGGTGGTTCCGTGGCTGTGGGGCTAGTGGTCCTCCTCCACTTTCCCATGTACTAGTGAAAGAAAGATCTATAAAACTTTTTTGATTACGACTCATAAAACAATATCGATCAGATCAGATTACATTAAAAAAATTATTATTTGTATTATAAAAAATTAATAAAAGTTTGTTTAGTTTAAATTTTTTTAGTTTAAAAGTTATTATGAAGTTTTTATGAAAAATAATAATTTTTAAAATTAAGCTGAAGTTGTTCTGTAAATTTTTTTATAAAGTTTTTTTTATAAATTATAATTTTAGTTAAAATTATCATAAAAAGGTATTTTTTTAAAAGAGTTATATTGTAATTATTTTTAATAAATGAGGATATTTTTAAAATAAAAATAAATTTATATATATATATATATATATTTTTAAAAAAAGCTCCTATAAGGAACTTTTTTTAAAGTTTTTTTTTAATTTTATTTTTTAAAAAATTTATTTTTTTAAAATTTTTTTAAAATTTATGTTTGAATTGATTTTTATTTTTAAGAGATAGATAAGCTGAAAAAAAGCTAAGCCAAATAAACACTAAACATATCTTTCTCTCATATAATTTCAATGCTTCATTAATAGTTTAGTTACTATTAACTATGGTGGGAAATTTAATCTATTATTATTGCCTAACTCAATATCAAGTAGAAATAGGAAATCTGGAAAAGAGCTCTTTACCTTGTTGGAGGCCTAATTTCTTTCTATCATTTGATTAGCTTTATTGCAGGATAATAATTAGAAGCCAAGTGTACAAAATGACATTAATAAGAGGAATTTAATTAATATAATATTCGCAAAAACCATTATGAAGATTGAACATCACATTATACAATGACAAATGTGACACACCATCTCGGTTTCGGTGGTTGGTTGCTTGGTGCCTCTTTGGAAAAGTATTTATCTTCTTCCTATAATTGCTTCAGGCACATTGCGTCTCCTAATCAAGAATTGCCACGTATGCCCAACACACTGATATTTTTTTTTCTTTTTCTTTTTGAAATAATGCTCACATATGTCCAACCAAATATATTAGAAAAATATAACCAAACTTGTACCATATTATATATAACAAGAATTATAGCACTTTGGTAGTTCACATAACAGTATATGAAAAATTAAAAAAATACAACTAATTAGATAACATATCGATCAAATTGAGATTGCTTTTTTTTTTTTGGTTTAATCAAAAGATTATATACAGAAGTTTGATTAGTAAATTGATTACCATACCGAAAGCAACATTAAAACTACCACACAAATAAAATAACCTTATATTGCATATAATCTTTCGATCTCAAATAAAAAATACTTATAGTTTAATTAAATAAACATAATCACAAAGCACTGCCTAAACTTAAATTGAAAAAAAAAATTCAAAAATAATTATCAAATCATAACTAAGCCACGAGCATATCATTTTCATCTGTCTTTTAATTTTACGAAAGTATGAACATAATATATACTAATTAAGAGTAAAACCTTGTATGCCCATTAGAGTAAACGCACAAGGATTTCATGGGAGAAATGTAAACGTGTTTTTTGTACTAATCATAGTCATGTAATGATCAGAAACTTTAAGTAATCAGTTTTTGGTTTATCTAGAAATGAATTACACTACACATTAAAAACGTACGTTTTCTCTGCAGTAGAAATCATGAGCATCTAGCAAAATTAATTCTTCATTAATATCTTGGGGCCATGCCCAACTTTTGAAACCACCTACAAATTAATTCCTAATTGACCTGTCTTAAATTAAAGATATATGATTCTTTTTTAATTATTGGATTATTCTCGCAGAGACTTAATAAAATACAATGTAGGTACATCGGATCACTTAACTATAAGCTTAACTATAAAATGAATACTTGGATCGAATAAAGATATGCCTATATGCTTAAGAATTAAGCATGTATAGATAGTTTTATAACCCAATACTTAAATTTCTTTTGTTATTTAATAGGTTATGATACTTTTCTTTTTTTTTTTCTTAACTAACATGATGGTTATTTTAATTTAACTTTGTAAATATTTAAATTCGCATATATAGAGTATGAAGTGGCATAAAGTTGTTAACAATGTCCCTATTTGAAGCCAGTCATATAATGGAATAAAAAGAAAAGATGAAATCATGGGGTATACTATGCTTATCAATTAGCAAATCTTTTGCCCCTTCTTCTTTTGTTTTCTTATATATTTTATTTTCATTTAACTTTTCCTTAATTATAACCTTGGTTTGATTTGCAGATATGTATAGCTGCTCACGTGCTTCTGGAAGAAACCACATGAACACTGATCCATGTGACATGTCATGTCGACAGACGTGTCAGTTCTTCTTATACACAGATGACACATGCATACACTAGAGAGATACCACGTACAATGAGGTTATTTGTCATGCTTGTACTTGTCATATGTATTCTCTTTCGAATTCTAATCATGAAATTTTTACTGGTTTGATAAGAAAAGATGTTAAATAGACAAAAACAGTGCAAATTAAGTGATTGATTTCCTTTTTAATCAAGTGTCAAGT